ATTACTCCTTAACAATTGCATAGCTATCAATTTCTAACTATTATTCTTGCTTCTAGATTCTCTAAAGTAATCGGGAGTAATTTATTATAACATAAACTCTTGACATAAACGTCGTAACACGTTACATCATTTCTACCTGCTTATGGAACGCTGCCCTTCCTATGCGAGCATATACAAGACAGACTTTTCCCAGCAGGATTGGAACCAGCAACATTGCGCTTTGAAAGGCAATATTCTTCACGACCGCGAAAGTTACATTATATCTCCGCATGCATCGGTATTCCTACATCTCAAGTGAACACACCTACACCTTTTAACAAAACGCGTGTATGCGCGCTGAACTTATAGCTCTCAAGGAGATTCGGATAAAAATACACACATACTCGGCAGTGCGTATCTAAATTCACCCTTTCGCCTTCTTTTCCGCTCACCTTCACTTGGAAGTACATTCGGGCTTATCGGGTTATTGAATCCGGCATTTGAGATACAACAGTGCGGAAACTTCATGTGCATAAGTAGTTTCTACATTGATAGATTATCGATCAGAGATCTGATGACTACTCTTCGACAATGGAATTTGCGAAAAGATCGAGTTTTGAAAGGGCATGAAGCCTCTCGCAAGAAAGAAAGTTCATAATACACATTTTTAACAGAACGTAAAAATAAATTAATTTATGAAATGAAAAGAAATTTGTACATCATATAATTGTATATTATTTGATACAATTTCTTGATGCGTATTTCATTATTTATTAACGTTTCATTATTAAGAAATTATATTTATATATAATTTCCCGGGAAAAAATGTTTCATATATAATTATATATAATTATATAAAATTTACATACTTTATATGTAATATATCCATTACATTTTTTCCCGAGACATTGGAATCGAGAACAAACACGTTTTAAATATGAATTAAGACAAGTTTGCGATTTAATTTATGTACAATATAATTTTCTATTATAATATAATTTCCTTGATATGTGTATGTCGCTCTTTCTAAATGTTTCATACATTATTTAAAAATGATTTATAGTCTATAAATGTTGGATCGAGTACAAAACGTTTCAAACTTAAATGGAGACATTGCAATTAGTTTGCAACCTAATTTACTTTTGCACAATGTAGTTTGATTAGTAAGAGTATTGACTCACAGTATACATGAATGGGAAAAAAATATATGTATTGCTGTAAACTGAGAGCGATCCCATTCTCGTGATGTACATCATGATTTGATTAAGTAACAGCGAGTCGCAATGAAGCAATTACATTGATTCACGCGCACACGCATGCATAAGAATATTTATAAATCTGTATATATAATACGTCTACTTACCATGTCTACCTTTCTAATGATACATTAAATCCATAGATAAATTAATTTATCGCGTGAGACTGTAATTACTCGATTCGAATTGTAATTATAGTGTCTCAGAAAGTGATGGAACAAATTAGCTTCGCAATAAAATTTCTTTTGTCAAAGGAACATTGTTATGAAACTAATTTATGTTCCTTCCTATTTTTAAGTAAAAATCAAAGTAGTAATAAGTCGCTTATGCAACTTTATCATCTTCTATTCATTTTTTCTCTATAAATTATAAGATAAACATATTTTTATATTAAAGATATTTATGATTTTCTATTGTAAACCAAGTCTCTTTCTGGCTTATATACGCTGAAGCGAATAAAATTCTATTCTTTTTATGATATTTTCTAGGTTTCTATACTAAATCATTTTTAATTCTTATAAATATTAAAAATTATATGAAACTAACTCGAAAATCGAGAATTTATCATTAATTTGGATATTATATAACATTTGGATATTATATAACGTTATAGAAAAATTTCTGTGAAAATTAAATTATTTAAAATTTTTCTTTTTTTTTTTCAAATTTCTATTTTTATTTAAGTTTTTATAAAAATATATTCAGAGCATTTTATAATTAATAACTGATTCATTAAAATTTCAAATTTTAATATTAGATTAAATACAAATTCCACGTCTATTCTAAGGCCCAGCTTTCTAATCTGTTTCACTTGGTGGTTTAAATTTAAATTTATTTATTTATATATAAAAAATTTTTTGGTAATATAAAACTCATGTTTTCTTAGCTATGATTAATCATTATAAACTGATGATTTTATAATGATAACTTTAAAAGTTACTTTTTATTCAAAATCATCAGTTTAGAGATTAATAAGTTCTGATTAAAACCATTGCTAGAACAATAAATTTTTACATCATCAAGTTAAATCTAATAATTAAAGTTAACCAGAAAATGAAAAATCAGACCTGAACGTTCTGGAATTAGAAAATTCTATAATTTTTATAATATTTAAAATTGACGCGAAGACACACACGGTGAAGTTAGCTGCCAAATTAATCAAATCGTAAGCATCGTTCGTCATTTCAATAATGTGCATCCTAGTGAATAAAGGGATTAAAATTATTTAAGATTTTCAAAAATTGAACACCGGTGGCTGTAATCGCAAGTGAATGGTCAAGGAAATCTGCGAGAAGACACAGATTCATCACTTCACCCACCATCATCATCGTCGCTCTATCAATCGTCGAATATCGATTCCTAGTAGGATCTCGATGAGACGAGCACGTCGCACACTTGCACGTATAGATCGGATCACAGTCACTGCGGCGAGAAGGATTTCTTTTATGGATTCGCGGGGATCTAGGATCCAGCCGGATTTTCTCAAGATGCCTTGTAGATGCGGTAATAGGAACTGATCCAGGTCGCGGTGTGGAGAACGTCGGTGACCGCCAGCCCGTGCATGAATTTCAGCATCCCCCTTCTCGCCATCCGCGATCACATGTACGTGTATCCCACTCGCGTGTGACTCGAGGCATCGCGGAGGTTCCCGAGGTAATAAGGATTCTAACTTCGCAAGGGATCACTGTCGAGGTACTTTCATCTTGCCTCGGGAACGCACAGCTCGTGGATCAAATTAGTACGCTTGCGAAACAGACGTCGTCCGCGAACACGCCGTATTCTTCGTTCCCGCGGTCACGACGAGTTGCGTGGCTGAACCGACAATCGAATCGATGCAGAGAAGAAAGGCAGGCCTATCGAATAAGATACATAAGTAAATGGAAAGTAATTTTTCAAGAAAAAATATAAACAAGAAGTATATTATATTTATAAAGAAAGAATTAACATAACGAACATAATGAGTAATAATCAAAAGTTAAATTATATCCGCTTCTCTTCTACCTGTTGCGCTACGAAATACATTACCCGGGAAAAAATATTTTATATATAGTTTTATATATTTGTACATAAATAGATATATTTTATATATAA